TAGAGACCAAACTCGTTAGATTATGTGAGCATTTTTGCTTGAATATATGGATGTGGTTAGAGAAAACCTGATGCCAAGAAACCCTGGCCCGACTCAGGGAGGTAAATTTATAAACAAAGGCTTAGACACGCCCGGTATACATACCAAGGGATCTTTAGTTGAATCATGAAATATGACTCGGATGCCAAGCCTCTTCTATCTAAAGGCAAAGCCGCATTGTAATTAATGTTCTTACTCCAAACCGTGCAATCGATTAACTCAGAAATCTGAAATCTTGGGTAAGGTCTAAAATTAATTTATCGACCATTTATTCCATCATTGGAAGCTATAGAGTGCGGTAGTGGGTTGGTAGGGCTTTGTTACGTTGCGACACTGGACTTTTTTACTTATTATTGTATGATGTGAGATGTACCACCCACTCTCATAAGGCGAGAGAAAACAAACCAGAATGAGTAATCACAACGAAATAGAGCGTGAAGCATGACTTTCATGATTATTACTAACCATCAATAGCGTCCCTACCATGTTGAGTTTCTCATCACTGCTCCCACCCCTGGCTTCAGCGTCAATTAGTTAAGAACCATTGAATTTAACCAGCGAGTGCGAGTTACGGTAAAACGTTACCCGCGGGCCACCAATTTATACATCCACAGAAACCGCAGTAAAATATCACCCAAGAAGCAGCAGCCTATCTAGGGCACAATAACTCAATTTTGTGCACGATACATTCATATTGTTAAGTCCATGATCCCTCGAGCTTTTCTAACAAATTGGTAGCAATGCAACAGATATTACTCGATCAACCCCTCACACTATTTTACACCCACTTCTTTACCTTCCTACCGATTACCAATCCAGCGACTGAAGAAAAAGAAAGTAGATTAACCATCCAAAAGCCCCGAGCTCTCGATCATTGCGTGCAATTCTGGCTCTAAAAATTTTGCAATTGTCACATCCTCACTCAAACCTTTTCTTCTACGCGTCTTGAGGGTGAGATCTCTAGCCATGGCCTGTGCAGATGCGGGCTCCAATGGCCGTAGCTTCACCTCCTTATCAAGGGGGTCTCCGGGGACAATGTTCCAACGGTCAAACACGAGGGAGCAGAACGCTTGCCCTTGTGTATGAATTCGGAGATCAGTCTCGAAACCGAATGAATCAATGACGGGAATGAGACCCTTGACGAGATAGAGTGCTAGGCGTTGTTAGTGGCGCAGATAAAGAAGAGAAATGATGATGCTTACGTGTACCAGCGATGGGCCCATCAGTTAAAACGTGACCTCTTCGCTTCGCCAACACTGTATAAAGAGCAGACACGGAATCCGCAGGTGCTGTCATGGAGCACGAGTATACTGGCTCCATAAGTCTTGGGGAAGCCATGAGAAACGAGGAGTAACAAGCCCTACGCGCCGTAGGAATGATCTGCCCACCACCACGGTAGATAGCTTCTGATGCGAGAGTGGCATCCATAATTTTGAACCTTGTATTTCGGATTGCTATTCCTAGAATTAGAACGAGTTGAAGCCGAAAAATGGAAAAGGCTTTTACTTACGCTCTTCGCACAATGGCCCCTCTCTAGTTCCCCAAGCAAATCCTTGTCTAATGCTATCCCTCACTTGGTTCAAAAGCTTCTTATCAACTTCACTTGGTAATGTATCATCTTGTAAGATATTGGGACCCGTCTCGTCTGGACCAAATGCCCAAATACTTCGACTGGCCAGCAGATCCCAGCCATAATTCTCCTCAAAGTATTTTCCAACTTTGCGGATAGGCCATTTAATGGATACTTTCCCGCTTTCAATATCTTCTGCAATCCCCGGGTCAAGTGGTTCTGCAACCATAGTGATCTTGTTTTTTTTGTTGGGTGTTTGCGCATAACATTTGATCGCAGAGGTCTCTACAACTGTTTCACAGAAGCGTGTGACAGGATCGGATACCTTAAGCTCCATCTCAGAGAAGATCCGCCGTAGGTCATGCAGGACGCAGTCCATGTACAGTTCTCCAGTCCCCAATATCACATGCTCACCTGATTCCTCAACCTTGGTGACAATCAAGGGATAGCTCTTGTTGATCTTTCGCAGGCCATCCAACATTTTTGGCAGCTCGGAGGGGTTCACTGGCTCAACAGCAACCTTGAACACCGATTCTGTAAAATGTTTGATGGGGCGGAAGATATATGCATCATCGTTCATCTTATGCGCGACCACTGTGGCAGATTTAACAATCGAATTATCGATGCCTCCCAATAGCACCCAGCACCCGGCAGGAACACCGTTAATGGGAATCTTGTATCGAGTCTCATTGATCCAGCAATCAGTGATTGTAGCAACAACCATATCCTCCTCATCGTCAAGTGTGTAGCCTTCTCCAAGAACACGGACTTGCATATTGGGATTTACAGTTCCGCTCATGACACGACCAAAAGAGAGAAAGTCGTTGGCTTCGCTAGTGTGATATAGTTTGGAGATTTGAATAACCAATGGGCCATCAGCGTTACAGGTATTCATAGATTCAACGATGTCTGTATCGAGTGGTCCAGTGTAGGTATTTTCAACCTTGGCCTTTGCACCCTCCAGAGCAGATGGGATGTGCTCTACGATCATATCCACGAAACCAGTAGAGGTGCCAAAAAATTGCTCACAGACCAGCTTTAGCAGTACTTTTGCGTCTAGCTTGTACTGAGCAGGTTTTAGAGATATACCAAGATTTGCAAGGGTTGCCTTTAGGCTAGAAGCACTTTCTCCGATTGTCTAGAGCTCAATTAGCTTTGTAGTTCGGATTATTAGGGGCAAATATATCCAAGGATGATCAAGATGTCAACTTACATGAGCATATAATTTGTATAATGGCTCGAGGATAAAATGAACGAAGGTTCTTCGTGCTTTTGACTCCAAAGATTTTCGTGTAAATTTCCTGCTTGTTGGATTATAAAAAATATCCCCCCACATCCGCTTTGCAAAATCCGAAACATTGACCCCCGCATAGGTATCCGCATACATCTTTGCAAAGCTGGATAATGAAAAGCACCACCCCATACTAGCACTTGCAAAGCAAACATTTCCTTTCTCCGGCGATAATCTTAAACTCTCACTCCTGCCCGGAGCAGCACTATCGATAACTGTGTTTACTTCCTCAATCGTGTGCTTCAGCTTGAAGTATGCATCGGTAGGCGGAAGTTTAAGCTCTAGGATAAGTCGGTCGACTTTGTTCAATACTAATGTCATTGGTATGTTTTCGGAGACAGCGTATTTGATGATTTGTTCCGTGTTGATCATGACGCCTTCCACAACGTCTACTACAAGAACAATACCATCTGCAAGGCGGATAGCAGAGGCAACCTCATCGACGAAATTAACGTGACCGGGAGTGTCTATGATGTTGACAAGGCTAGATTTTCCCCTGGAGGATTGAAGTACGAGAGACATAGGGGCAGACTTGATTGAGACACCTCGCTCGCGCTCAACAATATGGGTATCTGTGTATCGGAGCTAAATATCGTATCAATACCTTGTTCTGCAAAGCTAGATCGTGGGACTCAGTACTTGCTCGCCCTTCTTCCCTTCTGTGTTTGCACCCAGATCGTGAGTTTCAAGCACCAACATATCCATGAATGCAGTCTTTCCATGGTGTAGATGTCCAACTAGTGCAATATTTCGTACTTGATCTGGGAAGCTCATAAGATCCATCATAAACCTGTAACCGTCAATTCTGCCAGCTTTGAACTTATGAACCTGGAAAACTACTCACTCCCTAGAGAAATAGGTCTTTGGAAGATCCGTTTCCTCAACAGTAAACTTCTTTACCTTGATAGGAGCTTTTCAGCGGATCAGTCGGTATCGCGTCATGGAACAGCGAGCAGAGAACCTACCTATAATGGGTTCGGACAAAGGTTGTGCATCCTCCTCTTCAACCATAGCTTCTACATCTGCGCCATATGTTTGCGCGGCGGTCGGATAGTATTGCTTGTCTTTATAAACATCAGTACTTGCGAGCGCTTTCTTCTTGGACTAAAATTGAATCTGACCTTCGTGGAGCACAACCGCGTTTGATGGACCTTCGTCTGTTCTACCGTCAGCATGGTTCCTCCTTTACCCAGCCTTCCTATAAAGCTCAACATACCATCAAGCTCCATCAATTGTTGATCACCACCCTCATGGCCTGCGACCGAAGCATCATCGTAGTCAACGTAGGCATCCGCGCCTGTCTCTGATCCCTGGTCTTCCTCGTCCGACTCGACAGCCTCGCCGATAAAGTTACCGAATCTGCATTGAAAGGCAATATAAGCACTACTCAAACTTTTAGCACAGTAGAAAGAGAAGCATGTACTCGTCATAAAGATCATCCATCGCGTCGTTTTGTTGGTCGTTGATAATCTCGTGTCTGAACTCCCCGTGTTGCCATCAACGAAATCTCACTAAAGGATTCCACATCACGTGAGAGAATGCGAGGCAGGGTAACGTGGCACCCACCTCAGTCTAAACATCCCCCATGCGTGGTCGAAACGATCCACTGGTCTTTCCTAAATATAATAAAAACCTTTTTTGAAGGAATTGCATTGCTAGGTCTTTAGTGAGAAACTAATCCGACATATGAGGTTGGTCCATCGCATCATGGCATGTCACTCGAGCCTTGGCATTCCAATCTGGTCCAGTGCTAATAGAGACTTTAGTGGACAGCGCGGTCGCTGTCGATACATGTATCTATCGGATACCTACGTGTAGTCTTGGAAAAATAACAAATTCTTGGAAGTGCGATCAACACCATCCTCCAAAGGATTAAATTCTGGGGACGGTCTTCACAGTTGGGAATTGGGTCTAGACCTCCGCCCTCCCAGGGACATTGAGCCACGGTCATTCTCAATAAAGAAATCATACTTTTTATTTTCTGCAATTGAACCGACGTAACTGCAACCACAAATACTCAAACACTGCAATTTTCCCAGCAAAGCAAACCAAATGAGATATATTAAAAGAATCCGTTCCCCATCAACTAATTCGCCTTGTCTAAAACCCGTCTGTAACATCCCGACTATTGATAAACTCATACACATCTGCCGGTAGCTTGTATTGAATCATTCCGGCATAAATCATTGCACATTTCGTCCTAGCCTTTAGCTCCACCAACTTCTGGTCTCTGCTCGCATCGGCAAATAAGCTATTCCTGATATCTATGCTCAGACGATGGCAGCACTCGACTACCATCTTAAGTAGGAGGCCGATATTTCGAGAGACGGTTTCGTGAAGGGTGCTGAAGTTTTGAGCGGCCCGACGGATGGATCCGACGTCTACGCGGGGATCGAGAGGGATTATATCGAAACCTTCGATTGTCTGTTTATGCAATAAGTAAAGTGATTTCATATGCCGGAAAAGGATTACTTACGACTAAACAGGACTCCCAGTCGCCATTTGCAAATAGTTTTTTGGCTTCTGCGATACGAAGTAGGAAACCGCAAGCCTCCCTATTTCTCAATTCAATCTTAGTGTACACAGATACATTAGCCGCATACATCTGAAGCATGTTTTGAGCCAGTTGCACTGGATCCTCTACGCTTGTCAGACTCAGGCTAGAGTTCAACAGTCCACTGGCCGCTGTAGGATCTTGGTAACGTATTGGAGCCTCCTCGCTCGCGATATAGTCCGAGAGATTCTTGTTGACAATTTGGAGAACTGTATCGTAGTCCTCCGCAAGGTGGTATAATAAGACAGCGTCGTTGGCCCTACCATCATCATCTGCCTGAACAGCAGCTTGTTCGGTAATCGTTCGAAGATATTCACGCTGATCGGTAAGCTTGATGAGTCTCATTCGCTTCTCTATTGCTCCTTTCTCGCGAGTCCCATCTGCACGAACATCACCAAGAAGCTTGGTAAATTCTTTGGTATCAAGAACGAGCTCACGGAGAGATTCGTGACAAATTGTGATATGGTTTGGTCCAGTGGGTGCAGGAAGATCGGCATTGAGACAGAGAAGGCTGATATAGTCGACAGCTTCCTCGGCATTAGGTGTACGGAAATCGTTCGTGTAATAGCCAATTAGGCGGGGGAAGTTGATTTGCCTCTCTCCGTTTTGACCAAGGGTGACTGGGGTCAAATTAGTTATTTCTAGGTAAGATTATAAGAAAAATGGATAAGCTCTTACGCAATTCTCCACCCACACTTGCGGGGTTCGAAGTTGGTCTTAGGAGACCATAATATGTGAGCGCAATTGCAAAATGAACACCATCCACGTATTGGAATGAATATAAATAGTGGACAGCCTAAATTTTGGTTAGTCATATTTTTCTGAGGAAAAGAGTTGTAGGAATGAAATCACTGACATCTTCAAATAAGCCAGACATCATTAACATTTGGAAGTACAGCCCAACATTGCTTCCTTTCTGTGAGAAATGCTTTGCGCCAAACTGAAGAACTCCCTTTTGAAGATCTATCAAAGTAAAGACCTCGTGCGCCGGCTCGGTCGTTTTGTCAATCTCCCTAGCCAACACAAGTTGTAGCCACATCCAGTCCTCCGCGGTTGGCATAACATTTGGTACAGATCTTTTAGAAAGATCGCATCTTCCAATTATTTTGTAAACTGCCGGCTTAAAGATGTCTTTGGTGTCTTCCGAATGCCGAACACGGTTATTGTACTCACCCTGGATCCTGTCAAGCAAGTTCCTAGGCAAGCGCCGTTCATCGCCCGCCGAACAGTAAGCATGAAGATATGTAGGGAAGCTTCGATCAAGTTTCTGGAATGACTGTTGGTTCTGCCTAACAAATTCGTCTGCTTCCTCTAGAAAGCCGGCGCGGAGAAGGTAAAATATAATTGCCCAGCAGGGGACATCAGATACGTAATCAAAGTTTTTAAGGTCCCATTCAGGTAGGTCTTTATTGTTAGCTAGTTTAACGTTGATGTAACCTCTGAACTTGTGGAACACTGAAGGAATACCGCCGACTTTGGCGATCTGGGGGTTCTCGGCAATTGAACGCTCAACCATTTCTAAGAATCTACAGCCGTGTGAGAAACTCGTGAGAAAAAGGGATAGATAGGAGGTGTAAACAGAGAGAAACATACTGTTTTTCTAGGAACCGTCTAGCTCCCTTTTGAACAGTCTTCCGCATTCTGGAAGCCTCGGCACTATCAGGAGAAGTATTGAGAATATAGTCTTTCATAAACTGCCTTTCATGGGGGCCGCCAAAGGGATTCCCATCGCGGATGTCAGATTCGTTGGTTATGGATCCTAGTAGTTTCCAGGAATCGTAAAGTTGTAAGGTCAACTGTTCCAGTTCTTTGTAAGCTTTTGACGCACCACCACCTCCGGATGAGTCTATAGAGCCTACCATATCATTTCCAGAAGCCCCGGTGATATCGCCAAAGACTTTCATGACAGGATAGATTCCGCCATCAGCACCATTCTCTAATCTGACTTCATTCAAACGTTTGACAGCAGCCGAAAACTGCTTTTGTCTAAGCTGCACTTGCCTACTCATATCATTCTGTCGAGCAGGATCAACATCCGTGAACAATTTCGCAGCAGAAGCCCCGGTAGTATTAGCAGCTGTTGGTCTGCCCAAAACACTAGTGCCCATTGTAGACTTTGCCCAAACGCTCCCTCTACCAGCAACGCCAGGCCCAAACGACTGCCCCAATTTGGAACGGCCAAAAGAAGAGACGCCGAATGAAGAGGCACCAAATGCGCTGAGACCCCCATTAAATGTATTGTGGCCGAGATCTGCTGTAGCACTTGGAGCTGTAGCATTTCGCGGCGTAAGACCGAAGTGTTCGAAGATACGCTGCTTTTGAGCCTCCCATTCTATTGTAACATTCTTGGCGACAAAAGCATCAAAATCTCGAGATGTCCGACGCATTCCGTCTTCGATCGAAGACATCACATTTTGTTCTCTCCGGTTGCGGAGATAGGTCTGTTTAAAAGTTCCTGTGGTTTAGCAATGTATATTCTTGTAGCGGTTATCACGGGACGCCCAAAAGAATACGCACATCGATATCGGTGTCAACTCGTATTGTAGATGGCTCATAAGCGTTCTGGAAATCTATAGAGTCCAGGTCGCGCAAAGCCTCATCCGTGTTAATCCCACCAGCAGCCAACAAATAATGCCTAAGACCAAATCATGTCAGTGTCAGCTTCACTTTCAGTTCCACAGAGCTTCGTTCAGAAGAGCACATACGCTCTTGCATCGGTTTGCGCCCCTTCGCGGGTCTTCTTCAGGTCCTTGGCCCTCCTCTCGAGCTCGTTCAATCCAAGCTGGACGGTTTCTAGTCCATCATTATCCGTTTCCTGCCGAAGTTTTCGCGATTGCTCTAACAGCGAGCTGAAAAGTGAGGAGACGTGGTTTGTAGGTTCCGTAGCAGCCATGATGGTTATCGCGGTTCAAGGATGCGAGGGAAGTCGCGGAGTGTTGGGTATTCTGTGCAAACAAACGCTGGTTGATTTCAAGCCAAGGGTCGACGCGAGAGCCTTCGGTGAAGGCACGTGATCCGTTGCCTTGGCACAACCCTCAAGATTAGGATCTGATAACGCGCCATGATCATTACCGTCACCTATGGATAACCGCAGCCAAGAGACACGGAAAAAGCAGAGATATAACAAGGGAAATTTATTTGTGGGAAAGAACTCAGTAGTATAAGCTCCTCTCTTATCTCTCTTTTCTTTCCTTTTTTTATGGCTCACGAATCTGACGATTCTCACCCCAAGATAGAGCACGATGAATTTTGAGAGGTTTCTATAAATTACATTGCTCTATGGCCCTTGGTATTTTTTTGATCCTCCAAGTTTAACCAGCTTCAGCATCAGACCCAGCATCTTCATCCTCGGAATCAGCCACCATCTCATCATTAATATTTCTTTGTGCTTCAAGCTCTTCATCAAGAGCTTTGAACCCTGTAGAAGATAAGTAGGTGAAATGTGGGCTCTTAAATGAGTCTAAAAAGTGGACGAATCCAGTGTATCTAAAGAGAAAGGCATCAATACACGCAACTCGTTTATAAACATGGAGTGTTGGATCCTTACATATTGCCATTTCTTTCATCCTCGAAAAGTTTAGAGTAGATCATTTTCTCGCGGAACGCATCAATCTCCTTCGAATATAAAGTGAAGTTAATCGGCTCTCGAGAATGTGCTTCTACAGCACTCTTGTTGTAGCTTTCGAAGACGGGATACTCAAGAAGAAGCCCTAAACTTGGTGCTTTAGGAATGGTGATTTTTCTAGATCTGAAAGTTTGCTCGATACGTTCAATAGGGCAGCCTGTGCGGACAACCATCATTGCCATACCGACCATTTTCCCTGTTTTCATGGTTCTATTATTAGGATGGGCAATGGTAGGTCACGAAGCGAACTGCACTTACTGATCTGGTGCATCATAAAAGATTGACCATGGACTCGCAGAGATACCCATTCTGTGTCATTAATGATGATCGGATCCAAGACCTTAACGGCTTGGTTAGTACAAATCTGTAAAAGATAAGAACATATAACGAACTTACCTCAAAGGACTTGATATGCCTCTTAGAGCTTGCCTCATAGAAGGTTTTATTAATAGTATAATTGTGGAAGTTTTTAGTGCCTTCGTAGGCCTTAAACGCCTCCCTGACTCTCGCCAGGCGCTCCTGGGATATCCGGTATGCCCTCTTTTCTACTCGATGGACAGCCCTAATCTTATAGCGCAATTCCTCAACCTTTTCCGCCTCGCTCTTGATTTTTCCCTCAATCTCCATGGGTCCCATGTTTATGTCTACGTCTGGAGACCTGCTTCTGAGCCGCCCATCATTACCCAGCACGACTTCTTTGTCCGACTCGCTTTCTTCATACATGGCCTTCTTGAATAATTCCGGGTCTTCATCTTTGAGTTGCTTCCTGACCTTGTCATCGACTTCATCCCACCATCCATCAACTTCCTTTTGCCTCTCAAGTAAGCCTTCAAGATCTCCTTCTTTCTCGGCAATGCTTCTGAGTTTTTGTGCAAGGAATGTTTTTGGGTGCGGTGGTAGAAAACAATGGGTCGGAAGAAGGTATTCGTATTTCCTGCTATCACACTTTTGGTAGCAGCTGAAAGAGCCAAGGGTGCGTAGGATTCCCCATACACGGATTTGTTCGGGAAGTTCGGCGTTAATCTTCTGCACTATATCAGGGTCCTCAATTATGAGCTTCAAAGAGATTACATTTCCAGCAGCATGGACGCCTTTGTCTGTACGTGCGCAACGAACAAGGGATGACTACAACGGTCAGTTCTCCTTCTGTATCGAATCTGCATCGGAGTATGGATATACCTTCTTTGGATCATTGGAATTGGCTCTTGATATTGCGCCAGCTTTGACAAAGGCTTCAAATATATCGCTTTCAATAGTTTTATGCGGTGGATTCAACTGCATTCCTCTGTACCCGGTTCCGCAATATCCGATAAGGACTGCAACCTTACGTTTGGGCTTTCTCTCTTCCTTTTCTTCATCTAACCCTTCTACTTTGTTTTCCTCAGTGCCTTGCCCATAGGAGCGCTGTTTTTTGGTGCTATGACTATTTCAAATTTATTGCCGTTAGGCTTTTGATGATTTTGTAGATTTGAAGGGAAACGAACACCTCAAACATACTTGTAAGCGGCTCTTCCTTGGTCATCGCGAGCCCGTTTCTCTCTATTCGGTTTATCAGTCCAGCTGCCATTCCGACCTCTGCCACCACCTCTTCCCCGGCTTCTGCCGCTACCACGTCGGTTTCTGTCGTGGTTGTCGTTAGTTTTCTTGTCATGGCCGCCCTCGCTGGAGGATATCTGGGAAGGGTTTGGCGGGCAAGCTGCCACAGCTGAATTCGAAGTCTCATTGTTGTCCGACATCGAGAAAAACGGAGGAAGTTCTTAATTTTTGAGGATGCCAAAGGTTGAATACATTTTAGTGACCGTTGGACTTGTTACCATGCCAAGATTATACGATCACGTGATGCACAAATCACCAAAAAAATTAGAACATCACTTCACACCCCTCAGTGATTCAACCCCTCCTTTAATCATTTAGTCACTACTAGATACCTGCAATCATGGCGCCCCATAGCTCATTTGACGATGATGAAGATATCGACTTCTCGGGTGAGTAATGAGCTTTTTTTTTTTCGTCCTTACACAATGTTCTGCATTTTTTTCATCAATTGTTGACTCTTGAATGTGTAGATCTCCGAGAACAATTTGAGGTACGACTTGACGAGGGACTCGATGCTTTCGTCGTTGTCGATGGATGCCCCATCGTTCCGGAAGAGAACAGGGGCAAATTGATCAAGTTCTTGAGCAAGAAGTTGAGTGAAGTTGGAAAGATAAAGGCCGACTCAGTTACCATGCCTCTGAACGCCGAAACCAACAAAACTGAGGGGTAAGTGCGCCATGCGACCTTGCCAGTGGATTTTTTGTTTGCCAGTTTTTGGTTTTTTTGCTCTTTTTTTTTTGCTTCATGCCAGAGGATGCCATATTGAGGACGACGGTTCAGGTACGCCTTTGTTGAGTACGAGACTCCCGAACAGGCCCTTGCTGCTTGCAAGCAGTTGAGCGGTATAGCGCTCGATAGAAAACACACCATTGCTATCAATAAGCTTACGGACATCGAACACTTTGGTCGGGAGGGACGGATCAAGGAAGAATATGTGGAGCCTGAGATAGAACCCTATGTTGAACGGGAACATTTCCGTTCTTGGTTGAGCGAGCCTAATGGCCGTGATCAGTTTGTGATGTACCGTGGCGAGAGCGTGGGCGTGTTTTGGAACAAGAAGAAGGACCAGCCAGAACCAGTCGTTGATAGACAACACTGGACCGAGTCATTTGTACAGTGGTCTCCACAAGGAACTTATCTTACCTCCGTCCACGCACAAGGTGTTCAACTTTGGGGTGGTCCAAGCTGGAAACGTGTCATGCGATTCGCCCATCCTGCTGCCAATTTGGTCGATTTCTCACCAAACGAAAATTATATTGTCACCTGGTCGAACAGACCTATTTCAATCCCAGAAAACCCCCCTCCAGGCTTTCCTCTCAGTGTAGATGAGGATGGCAAGAATTTTATCGTCTGGGATATCAAGACTGGTAACCTCTTGCGATCATTCACATCTCTTGAGGCTGCGAACGACGCGGACGAGGGTGTCAAGGCTTTGGGACGCAAGAAGATTAACTGGCCTGTTTTCAAATGGTCATCGGACGACAAGTACGTCGCCCGTGTCCTCCCCGGACAAGCTATTCAGATCTATGAAACACCTAGCATGATGCTTCTCGGAAAGAAGGCGGTCAAGGTTGAGGGTGTCGTCGATTTCGAGTGGTCTCCTTCAATTCCGGAAGGAAAGGGTAAATCCAAGCCTGAACAGATGCTCACCTATTGGACTCCGGAAATGAATAACCAAACTGCCCGTGTCACTCTTATGAACATTCCTTCCCAAACCATTGTTCGTACACGAAATTTGGTTAATGTGTCGGATTGCAAGCTTCATTGGCAATCAGAGGGTAAATATCTCTGTGTTAAGGTTGATAGGCATACCAAGACCAAGAAGTCGACCTACACTTCCCTCGAATTCTTCCGTGTGAAGGAAAAGAACATTCCCGTCGAAATCGTCGAACTCAAGCAGACAGTGGTCAACTTTGCATGGGAACCCAAGGGCGATCGTTTCGTTTTCATTACCACCGATGAGGCCGTCCAAGGCGCCGCTGTCGCCCCCAAGACGAATATTTCTTTCTATGCCCCTGAGAAAATCAAGAACGGCGTCGGCGAGTTCTGCCTTGTAAAAACCGTTGAAAAGAAGAATTCCAACGCCATTTACTGGTCTCCCAAGGGTCGTTTTGTGCTGATTGCCACCGTCCACTCGCAGCAGAGCTTCGACCTTGAATTCTGGGACTGCGACTTTGAAGGTGAAAAGCAGAAACCAGAGACCAAGAACAAGGAAGTGGCTGCAAACCTCATGCTCATGGGCGCCTCTGAGCACTACGGCGTGACCGACGTCGAATGGGACCCCACTGGACGATACGTCGCTACTAGCGTGAGCATGTGGAGGCACACCGTATGTTTCCCTACAGCGCTCTGATTCTCTGCAAGTACTAATCACAGTCTATAGATGGAAAACGGCTACCATCTCTGGGACTTCAAGGGAACTCTTCTCCGCGAAGAGCACATTGACCGCTTCAAGCAGCTCCTCTGGCGTCCCCGCCCACCAACAATGCTCTCCAAGGAGGAGCAAAAGACCATCCGCAAGAACCTCCGTGAATACTCACGCCAGTTCGACGAGGAGGACACTTTCGAGGCCGAGACCGCCAACCGTGAGGTTGTCGAGGCACGGAAGAGGCAGCTCGATGAATGGCGCGCATGGAGAGAGCGGGTCGAGAAGGACCTCAAGTCCCAGCGTGTCGAGCTCGGACTGCCAGAGGACCCCAACGCGGCCCAGAAGAAGAAGGATGAGGCGGAAGACACCGTTATCGAGGAGATTGTGGAGGAGGTCATAAGTGAGCACGATGAGGAGGTTGTGTAAGGAGAAAGCTTGAATCCTTCTGTTCTTTCTTTCTGTACTTGGGCGGGCGGGGGGGTGGATGCTTTTTGTTTCCGTTTCTTTTCATGGACTAAAATTTTGTTGGCATTTTTGTATTGGGTCTGCTGGGTGAAGGGTGTGTATGGTCTTTCTTCTCACGTTCGAATCTAGTGGTATATATTAGGGCAATACGAAGGGACGTACAAAAGCTAGGAGGCGAGGGGGTGTAGTCTTTTTTATTTTTTAGTTTATACTCCTTTTTTTGACTGCAATTGCAAACACTCTCTTTAACCTTTTGGTTCCTGCATGATCCATGCAATCTACAACCTAAAAATGTCAACTAGTGACTTCACCATGCATCTCTTGCTTGGCAATAAAGTTGTCAGAATTAGTAGTGTTCTGTTTATCGATAGATACCTGATTATCAACTCCAAACCCTCAAGATCAGCACGCTCATCACCTGTCCAACAGAACAACAAAGCCCGCAAACCCAAATATCTGCAAACCCAAATATCTACAAACCCATCTACAAACCTACCACCCACCTACCACCCACCCACCAATGTTCCCCCTCTACCCCACCCCCCGGCCAACCTCCCGCCCCACCACTCCCACCCCCACGCCCACACCCACACTGAGCAGCACAACCCTCCCCGCAACCGGCCCAGCCCTAACGCACATCTACAGCGCCCTCCTCCGGCCCACGCTGCTCCCCCCGCCCGCGGCCTTCACCCAGCCGCTGCTCGACAGCTTCGTGGCGAACCACGACCCGCTGCTGGAAGACACGACGCTGTTTACCGCGGGTAGCAGGATGCGCGAGGTCGGTGTTGAGGTCGAGAGGGTGGAGAGGGAGTGGAGGAGGTTGGGTGTCAACGAGCTGGTGGATGGCGGTGCGGGTGCGGGTGCGGGTGCGGGTGCGGGTGCGGGAGTGAGTTTGAAGGAGGTGAGGGAGGGGAGGTTGAGGTGTAGGTTGGCGAATGTGAGTTTGATTTTCTTATTTATATGTTTGAGTATTTTGGGTAGATACTAACTAGAGGGCAGCAAGCTGCTGGTACAGATCGGACGAGGAAGGAGAGGCTCAAGGAGCGTATGGACGCTTTCGAGAAGGAGATGAAAAAGGAAGAGGAGGAGGCATTAAAGGCATTTAAAGAGGGCTTGAGGAGGGCAGTTGGTGGTGGGTAATTATTAATTATTCACGGTCAAGCACAAATAGTAGTTAGACAAATGGCACAGGTCACAGTAGTAATAATTATACGGGTCAATGATCATAAAGAATTTAATTCTAATTATTTTTTATTACTATTTCTATTTTTAGAACTATTATTAGTATTATTGGCGTTTAGCCATGATATTCTAAAGAACCTAAATAATCTTCGATACGTTAGCACTTGCGCCAACCAATACCAACATCCAAAAAATGGTATTCAACACTGCGCCTCAGAAAGCCGTGTGTACTCCCCCCCCCACCCCGCCTCAACCCTCACATCCAGGTCCCCCAAAACGGTGAACCCTTCAGCTTGGAGAGCGACGCAAAGGCCCAATTACCCGTAAAAACCACGCCAACCACACCCCCCTTCCCAAGCCTTAACTCTTGTCCTCGCCCTAGAACCAAGCCGTCCTCCTACACCCCGCCGCCCGCCGCACACCGCAACAGAACGCTACAGCGGCATTGGGTCGTAGGTGAGTCAAGCATGGGGGGACGAGGGAAGAACGGGCAGGGAAGGGGAAGCCGGGGGCTAGGGAGGTAGAGCGGGTGGGGGGACTCGTTGAATGGATCGACTATTGTCATCATAGAAAGGGGCGGGGGGGGGGGGGGGGGGTGGATTAGGGGAGTAATTACCATTGGTGTTTTTGCCTGTGGGCAGGGTGTGTAAGTATGATGGGTGCCTATAAAGTTCTTTGAGAATCGTTAGCATCAATGCAAGATTGAGCGAGAGACGAATTGTTAAAGGTTGGGAATTAGACGTAGGATCAGAAATGAATGTTTGGTAAAGGGTTATCGTCATCGGAATATCCGAAGCAGAACTGAATTTTTTTTTTCATCACGAAAACGTCGGGGGGTCAGGGCAAAGACAGAAGAAATTTTCTTAAGCTTACAGTTTGTATCCTGGTACCGCGAATGCGGTATTTCCAATTGTGCTGATGGTGATCGTTGCCTGTCTTAACAGCGAAACTGTTAGCAATTGAGGAAATCGGAGAGTGTGAGAGGGTGAGATGCAAATTTGAGAAGAGAAGGGCGAAGATCAGATGGTAGTGCATGTTTGTTTAATGGATCACATATGAATATCCGAAACAAAAGTGATAAGACTTCATCATTTCGAAGGGGAATAGGGAAGAATACATAGAGAGGGTTTGAATTTACCTTTGCCAGCCATGATCCCTATGGGGATCCCATTGGTTGCCGTTCTTTGTCGTCGTCGTTGTTGATGATGATGTTGTGGTTGGCGATTTATGATGTAGAGGGAAAGGAAGTGTCGTTGCGTGAAGAAAATTTAACCTTGCACGAAGAAAATCTAACCTTGCGCTGCCTGAGCTGCGAGCCAGGCCAGTGCTGCCAGGGCAAGACCCTACCCCGCTAAAGGTTTCACCGACGTCGTGCCTTGGCTTGAAGTCGGGCTTCACTTGAGCCTCATTCCAGCAAACTAACCCAAATCTGCCGCTAGTCGAGTTTGAACGGTATCAAACGACGATTTCAGAACGAGAAACTGAAGCAATTGCAGCAGCCACTCGTTGAAACACCGCAATGACCGACCGCCGCCGCATAAACGGGCCCTCGGAGGGAACAACCCCTCTAGTCTACGCCGGCGTACCCAAGGCCAAACAGCTCCCACCCAGAGCTCCCGATGCTCTGCGAAAAATATGCAAGTCCACCTACCTACCCAATTCCCCCTCCCCTAACTCTAGCTAACCCCCAGCAGTCCTCAAGACCTCCCTCACCCCACCTGCCACGGGCTCCTCCTTCCTCGAGCTCCCCTCCCCCGCCCCCGCCGGCACCCCCACCCTCAAACTCACCGCCTCCGTCTACGGCCCGCGCCCTCTCCCGTCCAGCGCCCCATTCTCACCGCACGCCCGCCTCACCGCAGAGCTCAAGTTCGCGCCCTTCTCCACGCCCCACAAGCGCCGCAGCTACGTGCGCGACGCCGTCGAGCGCGACCTCTCCGTCCAGCTCCAGAACGCACTCGTAAAAAGCATCAAGACGGCCGCGTACCCGAAGAGCGGCATCGACATCTTCATCACGGTGCTGGACTGTGAGGGCGGCTTGGACGGCGACGATGACGACGGCGTGGAGGTCGGACTCATGAATGTGCTTGCGGGCGCAATCACGTGTGCAAGTGCTGCGGTGGCGGACGCGGGCATCGAGTGTGTGGATCTGGTGTCTGGTGGGGTTGCAGCGCTGGTGAGGAGGGCGCCTGTTGGGGCCGATGCAATAGATGTGGATTTGCCGGCGCCGGTGGTGGTGCTGGATCCGAGTCCGGCGGATGGCGGGCAGGTTGTGTCAGCCGCGGTTGTGGGCTATATGGCGGGCAGAGACGAGGTCACGCTGCTCTGGACCAAGGGGGCCGTGGATACGGCGGATCAGGGTGGGGATGAGCTGGACCTGTTGATGGATGGAGCGATCACAACTGCGACGGCTGTTAGGCTGGTGTTGAACGAGGCGGTGAAGGAGAGGCTGCTGCTGGGGATTGCGAGGAGTAGGCTGAAGAAGGAGGGTGGTGGAGATGTGCTCATGGGTTGAGATGGGCAGTAATCAAGAAGACAATGTGTATTATTAGGTAGGTAGTCAAATAATCAATCAAACCATCTTGAAAGAAAGAAAAACCATTCATCTTGATAATAGACCACCATGAAACCGCCTATACATACCACCACCACCTCCTCCTATATAAACCCCCCACACCGCACCACCTCTACAACCCACAGGCAACTGGGAGAGAACCGGGCAACAGTACCCAAAAAAACAAAAGACAGGCGAATCACTACTAACTAATAGATATCCGCCAACAACTTATTCAGTACCTAACACCGTAGCTACGTATATATCTTCCAACGTCTCACTTTTTGGTCCAGTGCAAGCCCCGTTTGCTCCCTTTTCGTCTTCCCCTAGGTGTACGAACCTTCCGCGAGGGACGCTACCAGCTTCGTAGCTGGAGCCGAGTTGCGGGTCAGTACTGTGCCTGGGGTTCTATGCCTTCTTCTTTTTTTCATTGGCCTTTGGCGGTTGCGAGGGGCTGAGGAAAATTGGGCGTGCTTGTGTTTTTTTTTTTTGCTTGTATGGATTGTGCAATTTGCGTTGTTTTGACGTAGTCAGGTTTGCCGGGGGGGGGGGGGGGGGGCAGTTGAGTTATATCTGGCTGTTAAGAACAGTCCTAACTCGTTTTTACGATACCAATTCCGATATAAAAACCCAAACCAATCAGTCTCCCAACCAAGTCTCCTTCTCAAGCGATATGTAGAGCAACGAGTCTTGGGGCGCTACTATATCCACACCCCAAACCACACCATCCATAAATTACATATAATCGAGTGATAGTTCATGATGATGCCTCCACCTCGCGGCAGATTGTCCAACCTAAGCCCCAGTCTGTGGGAAAGGTACTCAATCCAAAGACACTGCAGTGTAGGAGTGTGATTCATAGATTATGGCACAGCTCTTATGTATCCATTGTCCCACGGTGTTCTTGAATATATACCTTGAAACAGCTAGTCCTTTGTTACACCCAGGAACGTTGTGGGGCAGCTGTAGGTTAGACCATCTGTTCAGACACGTTTCAACTGCTACGTGATCGGACTCGGTTAAGCATATGTGTTTCAAGACCTATAAGTTAAGCTGCGGCAACACATGTAATCCAACCACCATCACTCTCATCTTTCTGCATCTGAACATTCGGAGTCACAGCCCCCTCTAGACCTCAGATAGAGAGACTCGATCACCAACAGCCTGAAAACGTTTCCCACCTGTGTACAGGCACTAAACATGACGACCCATGGGATCGAGTGATCGCCCGTGATGCTACAAGTCCAGAGGCGGTTAGAAAATAGAGCAGCTAGCCACTCCCATAAATAATTAGAAAGCCTTGGACGCGACGGTTATCTTATCACGGGCTACAGTCGAGTCTCCCTATATGCTTGCTATAAGAATGATTGTGCTTGAAGTAGAAATTCACCCTTGCTATAAATTGGTACACAGGTTAGTTTTATGCCCACTCACTCACTCACTCGGACAAGAAGAACGACAGCGGCAGTGCGATAATTTTCGTATTGAAGGCTGCACAATGTATGTAGCAGATCCCGCGCGCCAATGGAGGCACACACACCACCACCACAGAACGCATCACCAAACATCACTCGTCCTACAAACTTTTCAATGATATCTATCTACACCTATTACTACATCGGGCGAATACTCTCGCCAAGCGCCTCGATATCGACAATCTAAACATCCGTCAGCAACCTCTTTCCGTCTATACACCATATTATCGACTCACCTCTTTCGCGGCCTCAGCCGACAACACGATGGGATGCTCATCGCCCACGCAGATACTGTCCTCGATCCTGATGCCCATGCCCCTGAAGTGCACTGGCCAGCGGTCGTCGTTGGGTACATACACGCCCCTGCACCACACCCCCATTAGCCCACCCCCCCCCCCCCCCCCCCCCCAAGAAAAAGGCGCAAAGAAAACTCACGGCTCAACAGTAACACACTGCCCCTCCATCAGCCCCCTACTCCTCGAGCAGCTATGGCAGTCATGTACATCCAGCCCGACAAAGTGTCCCACATGGTGCGGGAACAGGGTGTCCATGTTCCTGCCACCCACGTCGAAGCCGATCTGCTTCAGGCCGCTCTTGAGCTCCGTCTCAGCGACCGAGTGGATGGCGTCGAGTGACAGGTTGGCGTTTTCGCGGCAGAGCGAGACGCACTGTTTTTGTGCGGAGAGCACGACGGAGTAGAGGTCGCGTTGGGCGGCGGTGAACACGCCCGAGGTGGGCCAGGTGCGGGTGATGTCCGTGACGTAGCCGCCGTATTGGCCGCCGGCGTCGACGAGGACGAGGTCGCCGTTTCTAGGGGGGTTAGTAGGTGTGGGAGGAGGAGGGTGGAGCGGGGGGCTTACTTGAGGGTTTCGTCGTTCCTGGTGTAGTGGATTGTGCATGCGTTCTGCCCATTGCACTTGTCAATATAACGATTCACCGACTTCCTTCTCGGAGGGCTGGATACTCACCTCGCCGCCCGCAACAACAGGCACATACGCCTCCTTCTCACACCCGCCCACCTTAAACTGGTACTCCAAAAACGCATGCAACCCTCTCTCCGTCACAAACCTCTCCTGCATCGCCATATTAAATGCCCTCCCACTGATCTTCCCCGCCTTCCTCATATTCGCCACCTCCGCCGCGCTCTTCACATTGCGCAGCCCATGCATCACTGGCGCCAGTGGCACCGTCTTTTTCTTAATCCTATGCACAAACGAAAACGTGTCTGGCGCCGAGTGCACAAACGACGCATGGAACACGCTGACCGCGCGCGACGGGAACACCGATAGGTCTGTGTAGACGCTGCGCGCGCCGCGCAGGTACGGCTCGAGGTGTAGCTCGAGGTTGTCGATGTTGAAGCCCTCGTCGGCGTTGAACACCTCTGTGGCGGCCTCGACGCCGCTGCGCGCGCCGTCCCAGAGCTCGGCTTTGGGATCCTTGTCGCGCACGTAGAGCTGGAAGATGTGTTCGCCTTCGGGCTGGCCGGATTCCTTGACTGCGGGCGGTGAGCTTACTGCGGGTGAGTGGGAGGGGGAGTGGGGGATGTACTGATGACGCAGACGGCCTCGGGCTCGAGGAAGCCGGTGAGGTAGTAGAAGTCGGGGTTCTGGTGGAAGTCGTAGAAGACAGGGCCGGAGCGGTACTTTACGTGCGAGGAGGGGATGATGGCGATGCAGTTATCGGGGAGCTCTGCGGCCAGCTTGGCTCGGCGCATGGCATATTCGAGGGCCGAGATTCCGGGGGTTACTATTCACATTTCTGAGCATCAGTTTTTGCCTTTGACTGTGCAATTGGAGTAGCGGGAGTTGGAGAGAGTTGTGGGGAGTGGTGGGGAACCTTCGCCGCGCTTGAGCAGGTGCGGGTGTGTCTCAAAGAGCGGCTGGCCGAAGGCTAACTTCTGCGGTGGAGGAGGAGAGCCCGCGCCCGCGTCGGAGGAGAGTGACCGCTGCGACTGCGACTGCGGCTGCCGGGGGAGACTGGCGAGGCATTGCGCTCTGGCTGTGTTTGCTGTGTTTGCGAGGAGAGCGGCTGGTCGCACGGACGAGAGACGCTGCAAAACGGACCGACGTTGCATGGTTGCTTAAATTCTCGTCCCTGATCTTTGATCTGAGCCGGTTGCACTCATCATCATCGACCACCCCACCACCCCACCACACCCGCAGCCACAACCACAACCACACCCGCACACCGCAACCACACTCACCACCAACAGCCATGACCACCCCCGCCCCCACCACAGACACCACCACCCCGCACCTCCAAGACCTCGTCCAAACCGTACACAAAAACCTCCAACACCTCGCCGACTGGTCCTCCCTCGTGATCCACAGCTCCCCCTCCTTCCCCCGCCCCCTCATCACCGGCCTCCCGCCCGACCCCGTCTACATCGACCCCGACAGCGCCTCCGCCTACAACGCCGAGGACAAGAACTCGCCCGAGCGCAGCCAGCACGAGTGGGTGCTTCCCGTCGACCTGCGCGAGAAGTGGACACTGCGCAAGTGGGCGCAGGTGTTTGATAGCTTGCCGGAGGGGTACTGGGGTGAGAGCGGAGGGAAGATGAGGGGGAAGAGGATATTGCTGGCGGTGGTCTCGGATGATAGTACGGTCGTGCATTATGTCGTGCATGATGGCATCGTGAAGCCGAGACAGAACTGAGTGGGGGAGGAAAGGGTGGCGGCGGTGGGAGGGTGCCGGGTGTTTAGGGGGGGGGGGGGGGTAAAATGTTGGTCGAGAGATACCAGGTATTAATACAGACTTTTTTTTTTCTCTTTTCTTTTTTTTACGGAGTGTTATAGATATTGCGGGAATCAGATGTATTGCATATCATGGTATACCAAGGTTTGAAAGAGCAGGACCTGGACGTTCCCTGGCCGATATTTTCTAGATAGTCGCAGTTGGGAGCGGTGATATATGAATTTTAAAGAAGGGCCAAACAACCCGAACAGAACAGTTACTACGAAAGAGTTCATGTTGAAAGTAACTGTTCACCACCACATATACATATGACAATAGAGTAGATGACGATAGATCTCAGCCCGCCGGCCCGCTTCAATTAACGAGTGATATCCCATGACCACACAACCGCATCGTAAAGTCGTTATTCTAGAACCCGTATCCAACCTTTACTCTAAAACTCACTTCCAACTCATAGCCAGTGAGATGAACAAAGCCGCAGCATCGGGCTGAATGGCCCGGCTCAGCCGCTTGTGTAGGTAGAGCCAATGTCTCTGCGCTGACCGTAATCTTCACTGCACACGTACATTCAATCTCATCCACACTAATGAGTGCCTCTAGCGATCTAGGGAAAGAACATCTGCCTGGATCCCCGGGTTGGGAACCTTTTGTCTTCCTACCATTATTTTCCTTCTGTGACATGCGGCAAGTGCATAACGATAGATAGGCCACGCCCGCATCTCACTGCATGCATGTCGGATATTACTCTACCAACTTTGATCACCCGCGGCCGCAGGATTCATTGTTCTGCACCTAGGAAACCTAGATATGTATTACTCTTTCCTCCAGACCTGCGCGCGCTGGGATTTTTTTTGGTGGCTGCAATATTGATCCAACCACGCAGTAGCATCTAGGAGCTGTGCATGTTAGCGAGTGCTACAATGTCCATCTTCTTTACACCACCTCACCACGACCACTAGTGCCACCACCAATGCCTAGTTCAACGCGGCTTCGTTCTGCCTTGCCGTGGAGTGCTTGTGCTGAGATATAGGAGTAGAGTTTAGGCGCTGTGGCAGTATGGTCGTTTCCTAGACTTCTTACTACTCTCTTTTTTGTAAGTGGTGGTCGGGGGGGAAAGCTGGTGGTTGACCGGCCCAAAGCTAGTGCTCGGCCAGCGAGTGCTATCCCGTGACGCAGGAGCTCGACGCGCCAGGGACCAGCATCTGCATGTCTTGGCATCACCACCACCACCGCCGCCACCACCACCACTGCTGCTGCGGTACCTGCAACTGCAACCTAGGTCGATAGCTCCCCCACCACCCACCACCCACCACCAACCCACGCCCACAGACAGCACAGCTCCCACCGAGCACGGAACACCCGCAACAACGCCAGCTAAATGGATATCGTACTCGCCGTCTCCAATTACGTCGGGAAGATGGTGTCGGCCGACGGGGCCGCGGGCTCGTCGGGAAAGATGAAGATCCTCCTGCTGGATAGCGAAACCGTCAGTTGCCCCACCACGACCTCATCCCATCTCCGGCTCCGCAACCTCCACCCCCCACAGAGCGCCGAGCTGACCGTCCAGTGAGTAGGTCTCGATTGTGTCCACAGCTATCACGCAGTCTGCGCTGCTGGGACATGAGGTGTACCTCATAGAGTTTGTGAACCTTTTTTTCCCCAGCTCCCGGTGCTATGCGGGTCTGCTGCTGACGGTGCCGATCGGTGAAGCCGACTAGACAATGCCGACCGCGAGAAGATGCGGCATCTCCGGTGCCTGTGCTTCGTGCGGCCGTCGTCGGATGCGATACAGCTCCTCATTGACGAGTTCCGGGATCCGAAGTACGGGGAGTACCACATCTGTACCGGAAACCCCCACCGCCCCCCCTCTTGGTATTGAAGCTGACGGAAAGCTGTCTGTAGACTTTAGCAACATCGTCAAGAAGTCCGCGCTCGAGCGTCTCGCCGAAGCCGACGACCACGAGGTAGTCCGCGTGGTCCAGGAGTACTTCGCCGACTACCTCGTCATCAACCCTGACCTCTTCGCGCTGAGCCTCGGCGGGCCGCAGCGCCGGATCTGGTCGTCGAGCCCCGACATGTGGAACACGGACTCGCTCTCGCGGGCCGCCGACGGCGTGCTCGCGGTGCTGCTGAGTCTCAAGAAGAAGCCGCTGATCCGGTATGAGAAGAATAGCGCGCTGGCGAAGAAGCTGGCCGCAGAGGTCAGGTACCAGATTGGGCAGGAGGACCAGCTGTTTGATTTTGGGAGGCGCGCGGATACGCCCCCGATATTGCTGATATTGGATAGGAGGAATGATCCGATTACGCCGCTGCTGTCGCAGTGGACGTATCAGGCGATGGTGCATGAGTTGCTGGGCATACAGAATGGGCGTGTGGACCTGTCGGAGGTTCCGGATGTGAGGCCGGAGTTGAAGGTATGTGCCCGTTTGGTGGGTGGGTGGGTTTCTCGTGCGTTGGCTGACTCTGGTAGGAAATCGTATTATCGCAAGACCAAGACCCGTTCTTCAAGAAGAACATGTACCTCAACTTCGGCGACCTCGGCGGCAACATCCGCGAGTACGTCGACCAATACCAGCACAAGACCAAGTCCAACATGAACATCGAGAGCATCGCCGACATGAAGCGCTTCGTCGAAGAATACCCCGAATTCCGCCGCCTCTCGGGCAACGTCAGCAAGCACGTCACCCTCGTCGGCGAGCTCAGCCGCCGCGTCGAAAAACACAACCTCCTCGAGGTCAGCGAGCTCGAGCAGAGCCTCGCATGCAACGACTCCCACGCTACAGACCTAAAGACTATCCAGCGACTCCTCCAGTCAAACATCCCGCACGAGAACAAGGTCCGCCTGGTGGCGCTCTACAGCTTGCGCTACGGAAGCACCAATAATAGCGCGATATCGGTCCTGCTCGACCTCCTCGCGGTCAATGGCGTCCCGCAGGGCCGCGTCAATGTCATACCGAACCTCCTGACCTACCAGGCCTCCGTGAAACGACAGGACGTCGTTTCCAAAGCAGAGTCCATATTCTCCCTCGCCCGAACAGGCTTTAAGGGACTCAAGGGCGTGGAGAACGTGTACACGCAGCATGTGCCGCGGATGGAGCAGGTGCTGAACGACCTGATTAAGGGCCGGTTGAGCCAGCAGACGCATCCCTTCGTCGAGGGCACGGGCACTAGGGAGAAGCCGCAGGATGTCATTGTGTTTATGGTTGGCGGCACGACGTATGAGGAGGCGAAGCTGATCGCGCAGGTGAATGCGGCGACGCCGGGGGTGAGGGTTGTGTTGGGCGGGACGAGCGTGTTGAATAGTAGGACGTTTTTGGATGTAGGTTGCCATTTTGATGTGGGTGGGTGTGCGTGGGGCTAATGGAGTGTACAGGAGATTGATGATATCGTGCCGACGTGGCCGGCGCCGGAGCCGGCTACTGCGGCGGGGAGGTTGAGGAGGGAGGTGGGGGGCAGATAGTGGGCACTGGGGGGGTTATTTTCATGCTTATTCTTAGTTTTATGTTTTTTTAGTTTTTATACTTCGTGCTGAGACTTGAGCTTGTGTTTGAGCTTGTGGGTTTCTTGTTCTTCTTGCTAAATAAGGTGGGGTGTTGGCGTTAACGGTGGCGGGGAATTTACAAATTTTTAATACTAGCTACGGGCTACTGGAGAGGTGTAGAATACGGTAAAAGGGCCTTGGGGAGCTTGTGCACTGGTGAACAGGAGTATGTGTATTTGAGGGTTTGAGAGTTGGGGGTTGGGAGGTTGGGCTTGTTAGCTGCCAGGGCTAGGTATTCTACATCCATATATTCTCTGACGGGGGCTACAGCACGAATTTCCGGTTCCGAGCGTACCCCTATAGGGAGATTCGACTGTACGCTGTATATATGAACCTGTGTGTTATGCTACTTTGGACCACACAGTTTACCTAACTATGTGTAAGAGAGGGAGGAGGAGGGCTAGGTTGGATTCCACTGGATTATGGCCGGGGAGTGTGTAGAATTAGGAGAGTTTGGGGTGAGTTTTCATATTTTAGACCGAGTGATTAGATACTCGCGCGGCCGGTTTGAAGCTGCCAAAAGAACTGTGACTACATGTAGTGATTCGGTAGCTAATAAACGCACACCTTTTTGCGATCCTTAGATCAATTACCTCTTTTGTCTGGGCGGTTTCAATCCGGTAGTGGTCTGTTTCTATCGCCGAGGAATGTCTAATAAATCCTTATGTAATGTGCCGTCGAGTGATATTCCGTGAATGTAACCCCAAGTGTCATCTTTCTCAACATGAGTCAAAGCCAAGCATAGATTCCGGAATGGATAGTCCCAAATCGCCTACAAATCAGTAAATGATGGCTCATATCAGCGTGGTAGATCAGCAGACATGTCCTTGGGGTGTTAGTCATGGTCCTTGGCAAGGCTTGGCTTGGCAAATTCAACTTGCCTCACGTTTGCCCCCGAGCCGTGCATGCCAGAGCAAGCCAGAGCACGTCCACCTCACGAACCCTAGATTCACTTGACGACCTCTCTGGCCACAAACCTGCCAAATTCCCCCCCCTCCTACATCCACTCCCCACAACCTAATTCACGTCTCCAATCCATTGCTCTACTCCAATCCCCACACACAACCACGACGAAAGCTTCCCCCAAAAGTCCTCGATTGAGGCATTGACGCAATCATGGCGGACCAGTCCCAATACAAGTATGCGAACATGTCCAACCTGGTGCTCCAGGCGGACAAGCGCTTCATCCACCGGCGCACAGATGAGGCCACGGGAGACCCCGAGTCGATGGCGGGCAAGGTGGACATCAAGATGATGGGCGATCGCGTCCTGCGCGACACGGCCCCGAAGGCGAAGCTGAAGAGCAAGAGGGAGAAGCTGAACATCGACGCCATGGAGGAAGGGAAGGATATCCTGGACCGGGAGAAGCGGAAACGCAAGAGAGAGTAGGTTGCCTATTGTTCCTTATCCCAACTCCCCC